CTCTCTCTCACGTCGATGTTGCTCTCACGTCGATGTATCTCTCACATCGATGTATCTCTCTCTCACGTCGATGTTGTTCTCACGTCGATGTATCTCTCACGTTGATGTATCTCTCTCTCACGTCAATGTATCTCTCACGTTGATGTATCTCTCACGTTGATGTATCTCTCTCTCACGTCGATGTATCTCTCACGTTGATGTATCTCTCTCTCACGTCAATGTTGCTCTCACGTCGATGTATCTCTCACGTCGATGTATCTCTCTCTCTCATGTCGATGTTGCTCTCATGTCGATGTATCTCTCACATCGATGTATCTCTCACGTCGATGTATCTCTCACGTCGATGTATCTCTCTCTCACGTCCATGTTGCTCCCCCCCCCCACTCTATCAGCGTAGCTCATTCAATGGCCCCGTGCCTGTGGGGACTGAGCTCTGTCAAGGACGAGCCGTCTTCTGTTCTCGCTCCTATGGAGACACTTCGTCCACAGTTTACAGTGTACGTCTAACTCAAGGGAAGGAAAGTCCCTGGCGGACAAAAGGGTGAACCGGAAAGGAGCGACAATACGTGGGGTCACCAGGAGTCCGAGCTTTGAGGGCGAAGGATCAGTGCCGACCTTCCAAGGATGCATCGGGCAGTCGGGATCCTACAAGGACCACTGTGGGCGTCCCGGGATGGTGATGCCCACGAAGTCGAAGCAATGTGCTGAGTCTCAGAAACGGTGAAGAGGATGCCCATCCTTGCTACTTCCCCGTCTCACAGCTACGCTCTTTATGGAAGAAGCGCAGACATCTGGCAGGAAAAGGAACCAGCTGAACCAGGCTCACTAACACACTCACTGTGGGGCTCCAGGGACGTGGGCAGAGGACCCTCCAGCTTCCACGTTCTTCTGGAGTAGCTGACGGAGGCCACCTGTCCCTGTGCCCAGCCGTTCAGGGGCACGAGGCTGACGCCCTGTGGTGTCAAAGCGGTAGTTTGCTCTCCAAACCCTGACCCAGGCCTGGTCAAGGCAGAGAGGAAATGATGGGGCTTCTCAGACGCCATCTCTGCTCCTCCCACCTGACAGTTCTGCCAGGTGGGGACCAGGCGGGGACCAGGGGGGACCAGGCGGTGGCTGCCCACACCTGAGTGTCCCCTGGAATGAAAGGATGTTTGGGTCCGGCCATCATGGTCAATGCTACTTCCTGTGTTTTTAATTCCAGGGTGACCTTAAGTTATTTTCAGTTAAAATGTCACCAGTTTCTTTTGAAATGTGTATACTTCATAATCGTTAATACTCCAAACAAGTGTTATAGAGCCAATTAAAAAACGATAAACTTTTGCTTAAATTCCTTTCCGACGGACTCTCCCTGGGGAAGTTTTCCTTTTCGTTTTTGCCAAGATTAAGAAGGCTTATGACAAATAAACACTTGGAAACAACTGTGGCATCAAATCCCTCATCATATATGCATGTCACACCCATCTGGGGCCAGGTAGCCCCCCCAGCAGACTGGCGCTGCCCCCCAGGAAGGGGGACCCACAGAGGCCCGACTGACCAAAGGCCTGGCCCCTCCCCAGGGCAGGTCTCCCAGCAACCATGATGCACAGAACTCTGGGGGGAAGAGGTCAGTGAGAACCCCAGTGACTTTATAGAAAAATCCCACAGATTTACTAAATAATGAATTTAGGGACAAGTATAACAACCTCCGGTACACGGGAATGTCCCCCAGTAAAATAAAAACATATTCACTATGCTCTTTTTGAAATTAACCACAGGTGTGAATCCCAAGAATATTCAATAATTAATTTCTCACCCATTGGCCTTTACTTTGGGGTCCCCTTCCCGAGGAATGTGACGCGCAGCTCACCCTTTACAGGAGAGGTACCCAAGGCTTTGCAAAGGAGATCTGTATTAGTATGCATCAGATTCCTTCCTCCCCCTTCGAACTCCACGACATCTTATAAATGAGTTTTAAGAACCCGAAATGTGTCTCCATAGAGACGGGGATGAAAAGCGTCTGGAGCTCACGAGTTGACTGGACGGTGCGACCCGAGCGCTCGAAGGCCAGTTGTCCTCAGAGCAAGCGCTGCGCCATCTGCTGGCCCTTCCTCATGCCCGTTCCTTCCCGCGCCAAACACCGGGTCTTCTCTTCCGAACCGCAAACTCTCTAAGGGCTCGTCCTCCTCCTGCACAACCAGGCCAATGGCGCTTCAGTTTATCTCGTCTCAGGCAGTATCCGCTTGGTGAGTTAATTAAACCTGGAAATCTAAACACGCCAAATAGAGTTGATGAGTGGAACTGTGTCCTTACATTCCTACCGTTAGGTGCTTGTGTAACACATAGCAGGGTCGATTGCGGGGCCGACCTCTGCCCAGTCCGTCCACCGGTAGGAGGCTCACTGAGCCCAGCCGTCACCCATCACCGGACGGAGCGTCTCCGTGTCTGCTCCCGTCGGTGGAAACACCACACTGCTCTTCATACGCCTTGGAAGTGGTGAGAAAATCCAAACAAGGAGTATACTTCTGTTATCAGACTTTTGTTTTGCTCTGTGGAGGTGAACGGAACTGCCTCAATCATTAGAAACGCCAAGTAATTGGTTTACACTTGAGATACATAGGAAAAGAATGAAATGTAAAGATGAGAGAGTTTACTTAACACAACGTCTTTGAAAGGGACTCCAAACACTTTTGAAAGAAAAGTAAAGGAACGAGAACCACCACGGAAAGGGAAGCCGATCGAGGAGAAAACGACGACAAGAGGGCGTTCGCAGGAATGTCGCCAACACCCACCAGGGGGTCTGGAGGTGGAGAGGCCTTCTAGGGTCCCATGGAATCCGAGCCCCTCTGGCTGTATCCCGAACCGGCTGTGTGACCTCGGGGGGTTCTGAAGTTTCCTGTGCCTTGGGCTTATCTTACTAGAAATGGGGGTGATGATGATAATACTATTACCCACTCCGAAGCATTTTTCTGAGGGTCCCTGGGTCAATACGCAAAGCACCGAGCCAAGGACCATGCCCAGCGGAGAGTAACTCACGGCGCGTAGGAATCTCTCTCTCCTGACGCCCGGTGTCCGCTGCACCCAGACGTCTCCGAACCCAAGGCCAGGGTGAAGTCTTCGCTCTGGGGTGATCGGCCCTTTAGATGGGTGTCTCCAGGTACCAGGGACACAAAACGATCTGTTTTCCTGCCAGCCTCAGAGATGAAACCGTGGGGACCTTCGATGGCGGTGGTCCCAGGGCCCCGGGGCCTGGCTGGAAGCGTTTCTGTGTCGTGCCTGATTTACGTGCACCTGCTCCGGAACTGGCCCCTTGAAATGTCACGTCCGCCAGGAGTTCAGATTCTCGGGCGATGCTGCCTCCGGCCAGACAAATCGCGCAGCCAGCCCGGCTTGCGGCCGTAGGTAGGACCTTTGTAGTATCGCCGGCGCCACCCTAGCCGCGTCCTCAGACGCCGTGAGCGTCAGGGCTGGTTTCCTGGTAAGAACTTCCTCGGGTAATGAAACGGAAGACTGTCTCTGTCGAGTCTGCGGCATTTAAAATCGTTCGAGGCCTTCGGAGTTACTCCTGAGCAGACTGCATCTGGGAGAATCCAGCAACGGGATGCTTCTCGGGCCCCTTCTGCCGACCGAGGTGCATCCACTCTGGGCAACAGCACGGACGCCCGGGGGGTTCTCGGAGGGAACGCGACGTCCAGTTCTGCAGCATGAACTCCTGGGCTTGCACACGGCCGTGGGGGAGGGGTGGGGCGGAGAGGGGCCTGGGCACCATCCCGGAGCGGGGACGTCACCCCTCGCCTGTTAGGACCTGGGAACACACACAGGCCCCACCCCATTTAGCCTCTTAAGAGGTCAGCTCCTCTATCTTTCTCTGTAAGAACCAATAAGAACAGAGCAACAGTTTTTTAAAATATTAAATCCTTTATGCCTTTGAAGGAGCTTAATAGGATACATTCGGATCGGAAAAAGCAGCCCGGGCTCTGGTCGCACCGGGAAGGTGTCGCCGTGCCCTGTGTGCACGGTGGCGTGGCCTCCCCTTCGCGGGATCAAACCGCCGCCTGGCCTCATCCGCACCGCCTGTTGGCTCCCAGGTACCTGCCGCATGCTCGGTTTGAACTGCCGTCCTTCCAAATGTTGTTCCTTTGTCTGGACACGTAGGTGTCTCTGCACTGTCTCCGACCTAGTTCGGACATTGTGTGGACTGTCCTGGCAGGGCCGCTACTGTTTGCCTTTCCAGCGAGGCCCGGGCCTGGCATTCAGTGCAGATGACATACAGTGGCCCCGGGAGAGACACACGTGTCCTTCACACAAGCTCTACCCGCACACGCCGCCGTGAGGGATGAGGAGCCGGGGGTGGCAGGACCTGCGGCCTGTGTCCGGCTGGGCGGAGCAGCAAGCTGGGAGAGGGGAAGCTGGGGAGGCAGGGGCATCAGGGCTGCTCCGCAGGACGTGGTGGGGGCTCTGTCGGAACTCTCCGCCGAGGAGAAGCCTGTTCCCGTCCCAGCTCTCCCTTCCACGTGCACTCTCCTGAACACATGAAAACAAAATGATCAACGGAGTTGGGAGATGCAGCCCACAGCCTGCTGGCTGCGGGGGTTGGGGGTGGGGACATGGGTGAAGGGCAGGAGCTCCCGTTGCAGCAGAAAGGTTACGCGGTGGTTCAACCATCGGCTGACTGCAGTTAACACGGGGCTGCACATCGAAACGTTCATGCAAGAGAAAATCTTAGACGTTATCCCCAGACAGATTCGTAAGGTGGCAGATGTCAGCCAGACCTGCTGCGGTGGCCATTCAGCGGCGTGAACGAGCGCGGAGCATTATGTCGTACCGGGACCGCTGAGGGCCGCGCGTCGTACCCGGGACCGCTGGGGGCCGCGCGTCGTACCCGGGACCGCGGGGGGCCGCGTGTCGTACCCCGGGACCCGCGGGGGCCGCGCTCGTACCCGGGCCGCCTGTGGGCCGCGCGTCGTACCCGGGACCGCTGGGGGCCCGCGCGTCGTACCCGGGACCAAGGGGGGGCCGCAGCGTCATACCGGGACCGCTGGGGCGCCCGAGGCGTCGTACACGGGACCGCTGGGGGCCGCGCGTCGTACCGGGACCGCGGGGGGCCGCGCGTCGTACCCGGGACCGCGGGGGGCCGCGCGTCGTACCCGGGACCGCGGGGGGCCGCGCGTCGTACCGGGACCGCGGGGGGCCGCGCGTCGTACCCGGGACGGCTGGGGGCCGCGCGTCGTACCCGGGACCGCTGGGGGCCGCGCGTCGTACCCGGGACCGCGGGGGGCCGCGCGTCGTACCCGGGACCGCGGGGGGCCGCGCGTCGTACCCGGGACGGCTGGGGGCCGCGCGTCGTACCCGGGACGGCTGGGGGCCGCGCGTCGTACCCGGGACCGCGGGGGCCGCGCGTCGTACCCGGACACAGCGGGGGGCCGCGCGTCGTACCCGGGACCGCTGGGGGCCGCGCGTCGTACCCGGGACCGCTGGGGGCCGCGCGTCGTACCCGGGACCGCTGGGGGCCGCGCGTCGTACCCGGGACCGCTGGGGGCCGCGCGTCGTACCCGGGACCGCGGGGGGCCGCGCGTCGTACCCGGGACGGCTGGGGGCCGCGCGTCGTACCCGGGACGGCTGGGGGCCGCGTGTCGTACCCGGGACCGCTGGGGGCCGCGCGTGTACACGGGACCGCCAGGGGGGACCGCGCGTCGTACCCGGGACCCGCTGGGGGCCGCGCGTCGTACCGGGACCGCTGGGGGCCGCGTGTCGTACCCGGGACCGCTGGGGGCCGCGCGTCGTACCCGGGACCGCTGGTGCGGCGCGTCGTAACCCGGACGGCCTGGGGAACGCGCGTCGTACCGGGACCGCTGGGGGCCCTGTGTCGTACCCGGGACCGCTGGGGGCCGCGCGTCGTACCCGGGACCGCTGGGGGCCGCGCGTCGTACCCGGGACCGCTGGGGGCCGCGCGTCGTACCCGGACCCGGCTGGGGGCCGCGCGTCGTACCCGGGACCGCTGGGGGCCGCGCGTCATACCCGGGACCGCTGGGGGCCGCGCGTCGCTCACAGCTCAGAGGAGTGCGCTCCTTTGGTCTGGCCGGTGGAAGGCTGCTTCACGTGGCCCTGTCACACCGCAGTCTGTGCGAGAAAGAGGGTCAGAGTATCTTCTACTGGCTGTTTCTAACCGTCTGAGATCCCAAATAGTTAACATGTCCGAGCTGCATATTTGGGGGTACTCCTTCAGAGTTCAGTGTGGACACTCGGTAAAGGGGCTGAATTCGTTACTACAAATGGGCTTCTGGTGAACATTCAACTTGCCTGCAGGGATGACACACATTCAGATCTGCTGGTCTCTTACCGAGGGCCCCGTTCCGGACAAGGGGGGACCCTGGCTTTTCAAAATAAAATGAAAACTAGTTCACACACGGAATGGAGGAATTCTCCAGTTTTAAGAACTAAAAGATTTACAAGCTTCTCTTTAAATATTGGAATTATTTTATCAACGTAATTTAAACACAATTTTTAAACAGGCATCTGTTTTTTTTTGTTTTGTTTTGTTTTTTTAAGCTTTGGAAGCTACTTCATCGCGGTATGAGCGACATACTCAAACAAGTCCGTATTTCACGTATGCAGTGTAGTCGGTCTGGGGACGAGCATTAAACATCACCCCTCACACGTGGGGAACATATTCCCCACCTCCACCCTCTCTATTCATTCTGCGGTTACTTCTGTGACCAGGAGAGTTGTCAGAAGATGACCCTCTTAGCGAATGTCCGAGTGCACAGCACAGAGTTTTAACCACAGGAATCAGACAGCAAACCTCTCTGACCTCCTTGTCTTGTGTGACTGAAGCATCGGACCCTTCGACTAACACTTTCTCTCATATGATGCTTGACTTATGACCGAAAAAGGAATTCTCACATACGCTTTTCTTTCTCTGCAAAATCTTCACGAAACGAATGTGCATTCCACATTTACATAGAAAGTAGGCCATTGACGAATTCCCAATGCTTTGATGGCACAGATCACAGAGTGTGATAAAATGGCTTATAGCCTACTGAGCATTATTGACAATTCATGACCGATTTTCACGCTTTCTTGCGATTGCTTGTCAGAGGGATAAAATACTTAGTTTTGAAATGAATCTTGCAGTATCTCTGGGAGCACAGGTTATCCCGTAGGATCTGATCGGGCAGACAGATTCACCTGCCCGTTTTCATAACAGCCGGGGCCTCTAATCGTCCCCCAGATCCCTCAGCAGGCCGCGGTGCCCTGTCCTCGGGCAGCCCACTGCGCATGGATGTTGGCAGCAGTCAGGGCTCGGAGGACGTGCTGAGAGCAGCGGACGTGACTGTTGATAGATGAAGCCCAGGAGCCGTGACCTTGAGCCCGGAAACTCGGGACATGGTGACCCCTCCACAAACAAATACCAACGGCTTCATTCTAGGAAACTGTCTAGAAAATTTAGCTTAAGCCCTAAGAAATGGAATTTGTTCTTCACCGGCAACTAATAGTTATAGTGTTGCCTTATTCTCTGTAATTTGATCCTCGCTAAAAGTAGTATATTTTTGAGCAGTTATGCCTTTTAAAATTTTACTTGCTTGCCTCACCCCATCAGAATATGGAATACATTCCCTCGTTGCTGAAATACATTGTTATGAAGTCTCTCCTTGGCATCTCCAGTGTTCATCGATCACTGCTTCAGAAGGTAAGTAAGAAATTACAATAGATCTCTATGAGCACCCGACTCCTGAAGAAAAATTAAAATGCTCTCAGAACACCTTTGAGAAAGAAAACACAAGCCAGTGTCCCCCCAAACGTTCCAGTGTTTGTTTTCTAATAACAGGGACGTTTTTGTACAGACTCAGAGTGATGATCAGAAGCAGACAATTCACAGAGGTTGGATTTCCGCTTCTCGCCTGTCATTGTACTTGATGATTCTGTTCTGTTTCCCGCCGAAGTGTGACCACCCACGCAGGTAGACCGGGATGGGATGATGGAACGTTTTCATTCCCAACGCTTTCCACGGAGGTGTGCTCTCATCCACACGGCGCCTCCGCACGGGCCCCGCGCGAGCCCCCAGCTGTCAGAGTGACTGATGAGGCTGACGTCTGCGAACGTTTCCAGGCTTGGGTCCCTGGCTGTTTGGACAGAAGAGCAATGAAAAGTTTTGTGAAATTTATTGGTCAATATCCTGCTGGGTCAGAAGTCTTAGAAGAGAAGTGATTTTCAACAGAGAACACTCCTGCCGGACTGGGGACAACGTGAGGGTTTCCTGGCGAGTTTCGCTTGAGTCACCTTCACACTCGGTCTCAGAGGACGTGGCCGCCGGGGCCCCTGGATGCTCTCCGCCACGTGCTCCGTGAGTTTCCACCCACGACGTCCCAGCCACCCCTAGGAACCTGTCAGGTCGATTCTCGCTTCAATGACCCTCGCTTCCGTGTGTGGCTTCTGAGTGTGGCTTCTGCGTGTGGCTTCCCGTGTGGCTTCCGTGTGCAGGCAAGACACTGCCTGGGCCAGTAAGTGCCCGTGTCCAACCCCGAGATCAAGTCAGTACACGATGCTGCCGGGCGGGCGGTAACCGACTGCCCTCCACCCGCCCCGCCCTCGTCTGTGGCTCCCGGGGACACGGGTGCCGAGCACAGTGCCCAGGGTGCTGTACGCAGTCGGAGGCCCTGAATCGCCAGACAGACAGACGGCAGGGCTGAAAAGTGTTTACTGGTGCATTCTCCTATCAGCCGAGGGCCAGTGACTTGGATAAAAATACCAGTGGTCAGAAAAAAATAGCTGTCAATGTGGATGCCCCAAACACCGTCGTCTTTGGAACAGCAGCTGACCGATGAGTTACTCACACTGTGGTCACTTACCTAGTTCACACACACACACGCACACACACACACACACGAGTCGGAAGGCTAAGCATGATTTTTAAAAAAAGTTTCCAGAAGTAATGAAAACAGGCTTACAATATTCTCAACGAGAAATGTAATAATGAATTAATCAAAAGTCTGCATTTTAATAATGACGAGTGAATAATTATTTCACTCACCCTTCCTTGACTGAATCCGAGGGCGGGACGGCCCGGCCGGTCCCAGTTCCGCACAATCGGACAGAGCCCTTCAGCCCACACGCCTGCGGCCCCTGAGCTGCCCTGTGGGCCTGGCGATCGCTAGATGACAAGCTGGGAAGGGCAGGGGCCTTTCTGTTCACTGGTGCACCCCAAATTCACGGCATGGCATCGACACAGATGGGGCTTCAGAAGATATTCTTAAACGAATGAATAGCTGAATGAATGAATGAATGAACAATCGGAGGGTGTCCAACAATCGGTGCATTAATCGCCAACGCACGGCGACCCTCAGAAGGCAGATGTTATTACTAATAAGAGGACAGTGTCGGGAGTTAACTCCCAAGTTGTAAGCGGCAGTCGGACTAAAACCCCTGTGACTTCAGCTCCTCCCTTTGCCCTGCGAGCATGCTTTGGTGCTTATGGCTTCAGGGGAATACACTTGAATTTAGGGGGTCAGAGCACACACTAGGTTTTATTTTCCCTTTGCATGTTAGCGTACATAAGCCAAGCGGGGTCCGCAAGTATATGCCCATGCGGTACCTGAGTGTGTGTGCATGTGTGTGAGCATGTGTGTGTGTGCAAGCATGTGTGTGTATGTGTGCACGTGCGCACATGTGTACTCTAGTGTGTGCATGTGTGTGTACACACGTGGGCACATGCACACTCACAAACTGTTATACCTCTTCATATAATTATTTTTGGAGCAATATCCCTTGTGAAATTACAGAACATATTAAATAAACATTTCTAAGTGTCAGGTAATTATCTTTTGTTCAGAAAAAGACATTGAAATAAAAATAAATAAAAAACGGAGCAGGCGAGATGCATTATTGGGGGGTCACCTAACCTAGAGCAAAGCTCCCGTCTGGAGGCGTCCTCGGTTTCCTACGGCTGCCCCGGGGCCGGGCGGGGGCGAGGAGAAGCGGACAGGCCGATGTGGCTGCCTCGGCCCGTGACGGTCCCGAGCTTCTGCGGACAGCCCGGGAAACAACTCAGGGCCCGGTGGGAAACGGAGGTGACCGTCCCCGTTTCCTGGATGTGGGCAGCTCAGGAAGGCCGTGCCGTGAGGGTGACGAAACGGCTGTCTCTGTGTCGTCAGTCACCTGCTCAGGAGAGTGAGGGCCACGGGCGCCCCGGCCTGGCTGTCCGCCCCGCAGGGTTCCAGCACGTCCCGAGCCATCCTGGTATGTCCATGCACCAGGCCACCAGACACCTCCTCCCACCCCAGCCTCAAGGTCAGCCGGCAGCCCTCCGAAGGTCACCTCCAGCAATGCAGTCAGACTAGAACCACGGACCCAACCCTTCCCAGGAACGCCCGTCGGAAAGCAGGTTAAAAAAGATGTGAAAACACATATATGGGTGCATTGAAGGTGATAATCACAACAGTCTACAGTCAGAGATTTTTAAAAGATGGTGAACCAAAGAATTGACGAAAATGGGAAAACTATCAAATAACAACCCCATTAGCTGCCCTTCTTCAAGGCCCGAACCTTTACTGATTGTGCAGTCTGAGATCCAGGCTTCTTCAATAAAAGGACAGGCAGAATTCTGTCTTTTGAATTCGATTTTAATCTGCTAGAGCTGCAGAAATGTGTCATGGACATACTTAAACATAACATCACGAATGGTTTTAGTTCGTTGAGGCAGTTAAAATGCAGTCTCCCTTCATCAGTGCAGACACACGTCCGGTATTTCGGGCTGGAGTGCCCGGGTGTGTACAGACTGACGGCGCGAGGTTCTCCTGCCGTGCTCTCACTATTTATGATCTATACAGTGAAGACACAGTGGAGTCCAACTTCTACTTCTATACACGTTACGTTTTCACTGCATTGTGGTGAATTTTCATGTTTAGTGACCTAAAGAAAAACTCCATATATTTTTTTAAATACAGTAATTTGAACACTCTTTGTGTCTCATAAAAATAGATGAACCTACATTAACGAGTCACCTTCTTAGATACTCAC